TGCGCTGCCGTTGGATAAGTTTAAAAAGCAGATTGGATGGCCCAGCATGCGACACGTGTAATCATACCGTTGGGCGGGTACTGTAGCGCGCGTCAAATTTTTTTTAAACCGGGCGCGTGTATTGCACGCGCCAGCGTTAAAAAAATTTAAACAGCTGCGCTGACGTCATCTCAGCCCGTGAGCTGGAGCTCGGGCCAGCCTTCCCCTCGGGCTTGCCCAGGTTCGTGGGCCCCACTGTTTGCCCTGGCAGATTGTTGTTGCTGGAAACTTGTTTTTGGGTTTGCCCCCCCAACCCCCCCTTGGGCCCTCTGGTGGCAATGCTCTAACGGCTATATTATGACGAGTTTGAATTCAAGCCGATGACCACTTCTCAATTGAGACACTTACCTCTTAGTGTTTCATATCTAACGAAATACATCTCTTTTTTTATTTATTTATTATTTTTAATTTTTTTCTTAATAAGATTGCAGGGACAAAACTTTCAATTCTATCCCAAGTCAAATTCCTGGTTGATTGCTTTTGTGAAAATTTCCTGTTCAACAAGTGTGCTCGACACCTGCCAGGTGTTTGACACGTATAGAATTTGACACAGATTTCAAAGTGGGATTTGGATCGACTCCTGTCAGAGAATCTTATTTGAAATTTGAGATGTGAATTTCTTATTTAAATTATTTATTTAAATATAAAAAATAAAACAAAATTTAAAATAAAAAAATAATTAATATTTTATAATAAATATGGACACGTGACAATAAATAACAATGCTTGCCCTGCCATGACAAAGAGGTAGAAATGCTCTAAACGGACAATCTTGCCAAATCCCAATAGGGACTTGGCCCAATACAATTGTGGAGATGAAAATTTTCATATTATTGCTCAAGTTCGAAATACAAAGCTGGCTCCAAATTATATTTCAAGCAGAGATTGAAAGAAGTACGATACAACAAAATCGAACACACATAAAACACAAAACTAGATCTCTACACAACAAAACCCAACTTGTAAGATCAGGGACTTGATCACAACAAAACTATATAAGAAGAAATGGTCATCAAGTGTGGATAGAAAACTACAGGCAGAGCAGCTCAGAGCTCCTCATTACGGCCTTGACCAGCCACATTCTCTTTAATCTTCTGTGACTTCTGCTTGGCAGCTTCAAAATTAGATGCCACAGTGTCCTTGGCAGACTTCACAGTCTCTTCTGCTTTCTTCTTGGCTGCCTCATAACCCTCCTTCGCTTTCTGAGCTGCCTTGTTCTTCACCTCCTCTGTTTTTGGCTTTGCTTCTTTGGTCTCCTCTGCCTCCTCATAGGCCTCCTTGTTCACTTCCTCTGCTTTTTGCTTTGCCTTTTCTTCTGCCTCCTTGGTCTCCTCTGCCTTCTCATAAGCCTTGTTCTTAATCTCTTCTTCTGTTTGCCCTACCTTTTGCTTTGCCTCATTGGCCTTCTCTGCAGCCTTGCGGGCTGTTTCCCCAGCCGCATACTTGTTCTCGTATGTCTCATCTTTCGCTAACTTTGCAGCCTCATAAGCCTTCTCCTTTGCTGTATTTGTGGCTTCAGAGGCCTTGTCCTTTACTGCTTTTGTGGCTTCATACGCCTTCTCCTTCGCTGCTTTCTCAACCTCAAAAGCCTTCTCTGCTGCAGCTTCTTTCATTTCTCTAGCCTTCTCCGCTGCTGTATCTTTAATGTCTTTGGCCTTCTCTGTGGTGTATTGACCAGTTCCTGACCATTAATTAAAGCCCCCATTTATCAGTTGTTCATTTAGGAAAATATGCTTTTCTCAAGTCAGATTAAGATGTAAAGTATCTTCATCCCTAACACAAACATAACCAACCCCAATTTCATGCATAACCCACATTTCAGCACTTCATTTTGTCTGCATTTTATTTATTTTTTATTTTTTTAATTATAAAAAAAACTCATGTTATAAAAAAAAAAAAAAAAAAAAAAACTCATGATCTCTCTGAGTAACACTAGGTTAAAGTTTGAATTCACACACAACAATCAATTATTATGGGCACTAAAATCAGAACATATATCGCAAAAATACACGTAAAAAATTCAAATGACCTAACAAGGAGTATTTATGGATAGGCCAAAATCACTTTTGAGAAGAAACACCTTCCACATGATTCTCCAGAAAATCACTAAAAAAATAATTTTAAGTGATTCTAGGCTCTCATGTGCTTTTAGATAAAAGTGATTATTTGCCCCTCCAGAATCACTCCCAACCGAGCCCTAAATCGATTAAAATCAATCACATCCATACACACAAAATGCCATATCTCATAAATCATCACTATGTAAGCAAATTAAAATTTTCTTTTTAAAATTTAAAAAAAAAGGGAAAAAAAAAAAGGTTACTATAATGTTGAGGCTACTAACCAGAAGCAGTGTCTTGAACCTTGTCCTTGGTGTTCTTGGCAGTGTCATAAGCAGCATCAGAAGCTTTCTTATTATTTTCATCATCATCATCCTGCTTCAATCCAAGTCCTCCAGAGATTTTCTCCTTGGCCCACTCTGCCCATGACTCTGAGTCTGAGCTTTCTCTGCCCTCTCTTTCCTTCTCTGCCGCCTCGTCCTGCGGTTGCCTTGTTTTCACCTTAAACACCTCGTCACTGGAAGACGTATGGCCCACACCAGAGCCTCTGCAAATGGTGGCCAGCATCACCGCCACCACCCCAAGAACAAATAGCACTTTGAAAGGTCGCTTTGAAGCCATGAACAAAGTCTGAAGAGATTCAAATATGCCAAAGTGTTTCTCGAAAACTGAAGTTCGTGATATGTACAAGAAGTGTATTGGAATGTGAGAGAGGTTAGGGTTGGGGAGTTGTGGTTTTAAGAAGAAGAAAGAGAGGGCAGAGGAGGGTGTATGAGTAAGAGGACAGGTGTAACACAAGGTGGCAAGTTCAGAACCTGTTCAGACTAGAGAGTTGGACACGTGTCATGCTGATGCCTCCCAGGTGTCGACAGGGTTTTTTGTTTTGGCTTTTTTTTTTTCTTTCTTTGATCGAAGGTGTCGACATGTTGGGATTGCAATTTGCGTGTCTCTTCCTGAATGGAACCGCATGAACCAGTGAAATAGCTTCTTCTGCATCTCTCAAATATCCGTGGTCTGCTTTAGTTTTGTTTTAGGATATTTGGAGATAATATATACATAATTTTATCACTTTTTCTGAACTTATCTATACGACCAATGTTGTTTTAGTCTCTGCACATTTTTGCATCCATTGAAAGTAAATAAGCATATATTATCCTCAAAAAAGAAAAAAAGATATGAACAAGATCCATAATTTTATATAGAAGAATTGAAATAGTTCAAAATTCATTTTATATTTTGGGGAAAACTTTAGTTGATAGTTGCATAAATTTTAAAAATTATTGTTGTTCGGATTATGAGAGAGTTTTCTCTCTCTGTTTTTTTTTAAACTAGCCCCTTGGTGCCAATTTTTATTTATTTATTATTTATTTTTATATATAAATAATTTTTTTATAAATTTAATTTATTTTCTTTTAGAATTTAAAAAGATAATGGGTCCTATTTTTATGGAACATAACTACCCATAATCTGATTCTGTTTTTAATTTTAATTATTTTTTAATATAAAAAAGTGTAAATTTACCATATTATCCTCATTTAATTAATATTTGTAATTTTTAATATTTGCATTAACCAAGGGCCTTTTTGGGTATTTTGAATGTTTCACCATTCTTTGCCTTTTGCATAACTATATATGCTAAAACACTCATTTAGGTTATCATTGTCCAAAGGTCTAATGTTTTAGAACCTGCAAGGTGTGATGCATGGCAGTTGATGAATCAGAAAATAATAATAATTGCTTGGAAAATTTGTCCCAGTTTTTAGTTGTTCCTTACAAATACAAAAGGACTCATTATCTATCTCAGTTTAATTGTATTTAATATTTATCTTCCTAAATGCAGCATCATAAGTCGAGTATAATGTTGAGTACTTTGTTTGTAAGGTTGCTTTGAGGCCATGATGAGTCTATGAGAATCTGATATGCCTAAACCAGTCTGAAGAGATAGATTCTAATATGATAAGAGTTCTGCCAATACACACGTAGATTGGAATGTTGAGAGCAATGGGAAAGTTCGGAGTAAGACACGTCATATTGAAACCTACACCCCTCCACAAGCATAATTGTACAATCAGCATTCTGCATATGGAGGAGAAACATGCTTACCCCAAAAAAAATTCATGCATATTTTTTCTCATACTACACCAAAATCTCATGCAAAGTTCCACGCACAAGTTTTCTCATACGCAAAAATTCATGCAAGTTAAAAGGGTATCGAGCTAGATTAAATGCCTTTATTAAAATGATGGCGTGACTGGAAAATCAATAAGCTCGTTTGACAAAACAAAACAAAGATCCTAAACTACCTTAAGCTTAAAGAGCAAAAGCCTAAACTGCCAATAAAAAATGTCAAAATATACACAGGTTAAAAGCTGAAGCACCCTACTTAACGAGGTCCTTAAAAAATAATGCTAGGAATCTTTACACGTCTTCTTATTGTGGCCAAGCCCCTTGCACTTACTACACTGGAGCTGACGTTTTATTATGTCTAATGATTCAGCCTGCTTCATCTTTGGCCGGCCTGGCGGCCGTCTGGTTGGTGGAGGGGTAACAGTAACTGCTGCCAGGGTTGATTCACTCGGGAGTGGCCTGTCTACATTAGGAACAGGATGAATTGATTCTGCATAAGTTGAACGGTAACTCTCGACTGTGAAGTATCTGGAGCAGTAATCATATGGGTTCCTACCAATGCATTCAAAGACGGCAATAGCATGGCAGCAAGGCAGACCAGTAAGTTGCCATCCCTTACAGCTACAATCCCAATGGTCGATATCAACAATATCAACAGATTCTCCACGAACCTCGAATGTGCTACCTTGTGAGAGCAACACCTGAAGTGATCGAGCAATTGTCGTTTCTTTTTGAAGCTTTTCCTCCTTAGATGGAGTTAATCTTGTTACCCACTGGTTGGACTCCACCCTGCGTGAATAGAAGGCTTCCATCGTCTTACCTCGCAATACATCAATCATCTGTGTAATTGGCAACTCATGTGCCTCTGATACCCAGCTGTAGAACTGCTGTCCAAAGTTTGACGTCATATGGTTGTACCTGGCTCCTCCAGAGAATGCATTAGCCCAGTGCTCTGGCCCACTTTGTATGACCCAATTGTAAGCTTCAGGTGAAATACCTTTTATGTTATCAGCACTACGCTGGAAAGCCTCCAGTTTGGGTGCATAAGCAGCAGCATAAAAATCATTGATCATAAATCGTCTTGCCTCATGAGAAAATTGCCCCTTCAAGTCCTTGTTGAGTTTTTCAGCAAGATGCCTCAAACAATAGCAGTGGTAGCATTTATCAAATACCTCAGTCAATGACTTTTTCAAACCATTCTGAACATCTGCAACAAATGTAATCTGCTGAGATATTGACACTGCAGATTTCAGTTCTAATAAGAACCAATGCCAGTTATCATCAGTCTCAGCATCCACAACAGCAAATGCTACTGGAAAGATACCATCATCACCGTCTGCCGCTATTGCGGCCAACAAAACTCCTTGATATTTTGAGTTCAGAGGAGTGCTATCAAGAAAAATGAGAGGGCGGCAACCTTCTCGGAAACCCACAATTGATGCATGGAAAGATACAAAGAAGCGATGGAAGCTTGAGTCCTCCTTAGTGGTAAATGTTGCAACACTCCCTGGATTAGTTTCCTTTATCCTCTCGCAGAAATACGGCAACTGATTATAGGCCTCTTTATAGGAGCCTTGAAGCTGCTCCCTGGCAATCTCCTTGGCACGCCATGCCTGAGAATAATTCAATTGAATCCCATATTCTCGCTTAATGTCGTCTGCTATATCCTTTGGCTTGTAGTTAGGGGAAACTTTCAACTTCTCCTTTATGATACTTCCCACCCAACCTCTAGTTGCCCGATACCCAGCTTTCACAGCAGCTCCTTCACATGTATGATCTGTGTTCATTTTTTTTATACAAATCAACTGGGTAGTAGACAATCTTGATGCATATATCCTCCATGGGCAACCTTGAGATTTGCATTTGACAGTAACACGATGACTGTCATTTTTCTTGTACCTATACGCGAAGCCATGTGCAATTGAAAACTTATGCAATGCTTCTCGGAATTCACCAAAACTATTAAACCTTTGGTCCACACCAGTGATGGTATTTTCCCACTGTTGTGCAGCTTTATGATGCTTATCATCACTAGAAGAACCAAGAACAGAAACCAAAGGGGTTTCATGGAGTTCCATATCAATTTGGTCAATGGCATTGCAAGTATCAACTCGCACATCAATAGGCTCAACAATAGGAACCACTGCTTCTGACACAGTTGTCCTGCTCGACCTGCACGTCCAACACATGTAGGGTAACAATTCCTGATGAGATTTTTATGCAAAACACATGTAGGGTAACACTTCTATTAAATGCTTTTTTTGGCACACAAGCACAGTACTATATAATTACACAACAGAATACAAAGAGGCATGCAAGTGTAACACTCTGTGCAAGATAACAATGGAGGTATAAGCACATTTCCATGGCCTCTGTTCCACATTGTGATTGCTGCAATTGTGACCCAAACCGAACCATAAAAGGTTATGCATCCAGGGAAACAAACACACAAGTGGGTATCGAATCAGCAAGAAATAAGATGAACAAAATAAAAAGTACCTACTAGCAGGCATGTTTGACACATTTCGAGCAGCAGCTTCCTCTGACATGACAAAAACATCGACTGTGGCTGTATCCCCAAGGAAATTGACCATGCGTTGCAAGTCCTTATCTTTAGAGATTGTAATGAGAGTCTTCTTATTGCCCGGAAGGAAATACTTGATGGACATTGTTTCAGCACTACAATTAAACATATCAGCTATTTCGGACTTGAAATCACCAAGCAGTGTTTGTTGATCAATGTCAATCGCATAGGCCTCACCCCCAGTGTACGATAAACTTCCATCCTTATTCGTCACAAATTCTCCACCCGATTGGCATATTGCTATAACCTTCTTTGCAGCCATGGCCTACCCACCCAAAAAGGATATTTTTTTATAAGTTTATACACAAGAAGTCATAATGGAAATAACAAATTTGTTCGAAGCCAAGTTTACAGAAGCAGGTTGAATTTCACAGTTGATAAGAGACTAAATCCCATTTTTTGAAGCCAAGTTTACATAAGCAGGTTGAATTTCACAGTTGATGAGACTACGCTTCGAACTACATTCACAATAATAACCCTAAAGTTTGAAACTTTTGCCCATATCTATACCCTAATGCTGAAATTACATAAACCCAATGTCTTATTTGGGAGAACAACACGAAATTTTCCATCTGCAGACGTTACTAAGGTAACAAATCCCACAGGAAAAGGTGCGGAGCCCATAATAACCCTAATTCCCAATTCAAAACAAGTACATCAAACAGAGCCGAAAATCAAATTTAAAAGAAAAAAGACAAATCTTTTGCACTGTGAAAAAATATGAAAAAAAGGATAGAGGAACAAGAACCCTAATATGAAAAACCCAACCACAAAATTCATAGAGATAGGACCCTAGATTGCATGGATAATAAAAATCGAACCTTCAAGCCAGACTGAGATGAATTCCTCTGGTAAACCTATAAGACGCCTTCAGTTCGTTTACTTTTCCGAAAACAGGAGAGAGAGAGAGAGAGAGGGAGAGAGCTTGCCCGCTCCGAAACGTACGCATACACAGAAAGAGATGGAGCGAAGCGTGTAATTACTTTACCGTCATGCTTCACTGCATCCGTAT